GCGATCGTCTGCGATCATATGGAAACCAGCCTTAACATGTACATTTGACGAAAGGATTAATCCAAGAACGTACAGTTACCTCAAACTAATGGTTTCCTCACTTCAAAAATTCCACTTCCCTTCTTGGAAATTTGAGAGGGGGGGAGGGTGAATGGGGGGGGGGGGGCGGGCATAGAAAGGGTGATTTACCATGATCTTTTATGGGAGGTGTGAAGTCACGCCAGAAAACGAGTTTAATTTACAACTAACAAACATAATCACAAAGAGGGGCCGAAGTCTTACCTCCCAACCGAAGTGGAAGAAGAATTTATTAAACAAATACTTGACACAGTTAATGAAGTCTTCATCGGCGTCAGGTCTTGTTATTCCAGGAAACAAGATTCCGGGATCTGGCTCTTTAAGATTCTTCCTCCAACGGTAAAGTTTCTGTAGGCATGCACAAACATCAACAAATAAATGGTTTCTTTGAATTTCATACGCAAAAACCTTCCGCCCTGTTAGATTAGGATAACTAGACAGGTCACGCTAGGTCACGCAATGTTAAGCAATTTTGCCACCGCGACTGAATCGCTCAAAATTGCGTTACAACTCTGTTTAGTAAAATGTGCTTCTCTTTAATGCTTACTTCGATTTGAAGTCAATTCTGTAAAATGTAAGAAATGGCAAACGTCTTTTGGGACACAGTTATAAACCGATTGAAAAACTCATTCAATTTGTTATTCGGGAGTTCAAAGGTACTTGAACACACCCACAACTGTACAAGAGATAAACAACAATGAAATCTTTTCCATGGTTAATTTTCCCTTACCTGGTGATGCTTGATGACCGCGTGTAAAACAATGACTATAACAATTAAAAGGTAACCCTGAAAATAAAGCAAAGAGACACTGTTCAAACATCACCTGTAATTGTAAAATTCGTTAATAATTCAAGAGAAATTGATCCAATGGAAAAGCACTATTCAAATCACATGAACGCGCTGTAATCCCCAATACAGCTTACACATCCTGTCCAAGAAAGAGTGCGCACAAACTGACGCGTACTTTCCAATTACAAGCACTACGTGTACACTGTCCTATTTGTCTAAAATCGGCATGTTGATGGTCAATCAGATTTGTGAATTGTGTTAAAGTTTGTAGAGTTTTTAGATTAAAATGGTTGTTGCTCGGTTTTCAGCGTGCTTAAGTAACTACTTCCTGTGGCTTCGTCATCAGACTCGCGAGGCCGAGAGGGGGAAATTAAGCTCGCGAAGAAACATAGCCTCCATATCCACCGCTCTCTCGAGTCCGGTTCACGTTCGGGTAAGAGTGCGGGCTCCTTTCCCATACAGCGGTTGGTGATCGAGCCTAGAAGAAGACGTCTTCCTGCACCAAACGCAATGAGCAAATTTCTTACCTTGATATCCTCGGAGATGTTCTCTGTCTTGTAAAAACCGACCCACAGTGCATTGTTGATGAAGTGATTGAATGAAGAAGGTCGTGGTAAAGTCTGGAGAAAAGAGATATGCTTAGAAAAAATGATTACTGAAAATTCTACGATAAACATCATGCCGGCTGCCTACGTTTAAGTCTGTTAACAACAAATTTACTAGTGACGAAAAGAGTAAAATGTTTTTAATTAATTAATCAATTGAGTGATTAATTATCGTATCTATAGCAAAATTCTCGATCGTTATTGGTTCTCCACGCGCCTATTTGTCACGTTATTGCCGCACGATCACGTGGGTCGAGTTGCAATTGGATACCTGTAAATGGATACCTTCGTCATTCGCATGTCAATTACGCGCGCTTCAATGGCTTTCTTCTTAGTATTTCCTACTACAGTTGTGGTAGGCACTTCCCACTTTTTCGCTCAAAAGAACTTTTTAGTTTCGAAATTTTGTTATTGATACGATTAATTGGACCTACGATTTTGAATTACTCGCCCGATCACTCCCTGAATTGTACTCACCCGGTCGAATTACTATTGCTAATAAATAAATAATAAAGTGAGCATTTATGTATTAAAAAATATTCTAACTCACCTGGTCCGTGCAGTTGTGTTGGAATAAGTCAGCCTGCACGAACCTCAGTTGATAAATCATTTTACTCAGAATAACAAGAGAGCTCCAGATTAAGAAACAGTAAGACAGTGCTCTCTGAAGAACGCGAGACGGCATGGAAATGCCAAGTAGAATGATGATTACTGCGTTAATAGCACAGACCTGAAAATAGAAGAGATTTGATTCGTCCGTTAGCCTCCAAAGACAAATTTGTACGATCTATACAAAGGGCAGTTTAAGCTCAGCAGCAAAGTTGAATGGATGATAATAGCCAGAGTATACATGTAGTACAGTAATGGGGAGGGGGGAGGGAGAGGGAAAAAACAGGGATAGGAAAAAAGAAAAAAAAGAGGCCTTTCTCTACTTCTCTCCTCCCCTCCCCTCAGGAAGGCCTGCTGCTCAGGTTAGGATTAAAAAGTGGATCAACAGCTGCGATGCCTTGCAGTTTACTGAAAAGTGCATACAGTAGTACATTAAGCCTTGTTGTTGGCACATTACATTGAATGAACAACCAATAAAAGCACGCATGCAACACTGCTTGATATTTTATATTATAAAGACAGATAGACGGACGGACGGACAGATGGACAGACAGACAAGACAGGCAAATAGGCTGACTGACTGAAAAATATAGACAGACAGAAATAAAAAATGAAAATCATTAGTTCACCCAACCTGATAAAGCACCACAAAAATCAGTGTCAAATTGACCAGTTTCAACATGTGCAGTTCTCCAACTCTCCAAAGGAAAACAGTTAGATCATTGTAAAAGTTCACGATCTTGATAAGTGCCACCACCAGAAAAGACTTCTGAGTATTCTGCCGGGACTCCCGTGCAGGCTCTGAATGTCCGGCGCCATCTTGTTGGGAGGTGGAGGCAGTGGTATGTGGTTCTACAGCACCTCTTGCTGCTGATTGGTGGGCTGTGGGGCTAGATCTCACTTTCAAATCAATCATGGCCAGAAATGGACGATGGAAGAAATGTAGTTGTATAACAATAATGATTGAAAAGGCAGTGGGTGTAAGAAGTTCTAACAGAAGGCTGGCTTTTGTGTGTTGGCGAAGTCCAAGATTGTACAGCCTGTTAGGAGACAAAAATGATTTTTTTTTTTCAGCTACTGCATTAGGCCTCGTCACAATCGTATACAAAGCTTTTGAAACACCAAATCTCTCCGTACTGTGTCAAACAATAGAAAGGCACAATTAGAAGAATGTTTGTGTTATAGAAACGCCACAAACGTTTTTTTGTGCACAATTTATGGCTACATGCAACAATATTATTTACGAATAAGAAGGCCGAAACAGTCATGNCAAATGAGCCATTTGTATCCTAAAATGACAACACTAAATAAATATTATCAAGATTTCCATCAACTTACACATCTTCCTAAGTGCCTTTAAAAATGGATGAGCCAGATTTCTCAGAGGAAGAGAGTCTTCATTTTCCCTTTCCCTTCTCTTCATTTTCTTCTCCCTGATGTGCTGTCGTAAAGTCACCCAGAACACCCAGGTGAAGAGAGTCTGTCAAAAGTCCAAATCACTTCAGTGACAATGCATTGAACTGTTATTTTTAGTGTATTTGAAAAGTAGAATTCAGATTGTTTAAACCCTCATTTTCTTGAACCTTCCAATAACTTCAACAAGCAGTTGCTTCATTTGGATTTGCATAACTACAAATTTACCCCCAATAACTTGAACTCCCAATTTCTTAAATCTGTTTTTGCCTTTCCTGGAAGTTTTCCATTTCTACACATATATTCTATTTCATTCTGGTGAAGAAGTCAAAGAAAAATCCTCACATACTTCTTTCATACATCGATTGACTGACTGACTGACTGACAGACAGACAGACAGACTGACTGACCGATTAATTGATTGATTGATTGATCGATTACATAGCCCTACAATAAATGATACCCACTGCTTATTATTTTTAACAAAGTACACAACAAGTGCCTGTGTGGATTAACAATTAGGTTCCAAGTTTGTTCTGTTGAGACAGCTGTTGACTTATCTTGACAACTTCAGTATATTGTATGTGTTTGGTGTACCTGTGCACCCAAGTGTAAACAGGGAAATTGCCATTTCTTCAGTCCCAGCTCAGAATAGTCAAACGTTCCCGTGGGGTCTTGTAGTGGTAATTCATCATCAGTAAGCTGAAGGCCATAAACATACTGCACAAGGAGGAGTAGCTCAGCATAGATCACGAGTCCTGGAGAGGAGACCATACAGAACCATCGTGCAAATGGGGTGATCCAGATGAGGCACGCCCACAAGAGGAGGACAAATGTCAGCCATGAGTGGTATGTGATGCTCCAGGCCTGATGAGAAAGAAAAATATTTTACAAATGAAGAATAGTATGTTACCCCAGCTACAGTATGGCTGAAGCCAGTAATTCTTTACAAGATGTACAGGGAGCTGGTGTGTGTACCCTGGTGAAAATCTTTCAAAGATCTTCAAGGATCTTGAATGAAAGCTATTCATAAAGAGATTTGAGGATCCTATCAACTGAGGGTTTTAACAAGAGTGTTTAACTTAAAATTTCTTGCCAAGAAACTCAAAGATCATTATTATTCTTGCCAGGATTTTTACTGATCTTCACTTTTCTTGTCAGGATATTTGAGGATCTTGATTTTACTTGCCAGGATCTTTGAAGGTTTTCAAGCATCTTCAAGGACCTTCAACTAAATTTATAATACTTAACTTGTCTACTGGAATTGGCTTACAATATAGTTAACAGGTGAAAGCAGACAGAAAGAAATATATGTTTCTCAACAATTTTCCACAAATCTACAGGCTTCAAATGCTTCTGCACAGCCCTCCCAATTGGTCAATAAGCTCATATTATCACCAAGTCTTGAAGTGCCATCAAGTTCTCATAACTATCCTTAAAGAATTCTACTGTATTCAGTAAGGAGAATTAGTACTAACCATCATGATGATGAGAGCTGCAATGTAGCTCTGTCTCATGAGGAACATCATAATGCTTCCCAGAGTTCCCTGCACTCCTGGGTACTCATCAGGTTCCTGGATTGGTTGAACTGGCTCTTCAGCCACGACATTCACGGGTAGAGGGCCCAAGGTGTTGTAGTTGGTTTGGCGCCCTGTCATAAGGGACTAGGATACAGACAACTTATTACCTATATGTATGCCATAATACCCTAATTAGATTAAGCTTGCTCCTTCAAAAAGCACCCCCTTTCTAAAAATACAACCCACTTTTACCTTGCTGCCTTGCACTCAATGCATTGTTTACTAAAACAAAGAACCTTGAGTTTCGTTTGTTTTGGCTGTTTAACAAACGGTGCTGACTCAATATTTTGGCCTTGTCTTCCTTCTCCAAAACAAAGCGCAACTTAGTTGATGACCACATGCAGGGATTAGGATGGCAAAACAGGCAAATGATCCTATGACCCATGGCATTGGAAAGTTATGGGCCATTTATAAAAAGTTTGGGCCAATAGGGTAAATAAATGGGCCATAAAAAAATTTTAACAATTGATATGTAATTCTTGATTGTTGTAAGTTGTTTTACACGTTTTACTGGACTTCAAGCTAACTTAAAGTGTACAGTCACAAAATTTAGCTAACTCAAATTATATAACCTTTCATTGAGATTAAACTATGCATTCTGAACTGGAGCTGATTAAACTTAACACACCAAGTAGTCTGGCATCCACATCACTGAGACATGCTCAGTTTTAGATTTACAGTGACAAGTAAAGTTGCATTTACAATTTAAAATTTGAGCTACATGTATGCATGAACTGTACATAACACACCTGTAGCTCTCTAATAGTTAATGAAACAGTAACCAAAAATATTTTTGTTCCTTAGAACCAGCAGGCTTGGAAGCTTCATCTTGATCATTGTTTTCAGGATCACAATTCGTTGTGGTGGACTCAGCGTTCGTAGTGCAAAATGGCAACAATCTCTAAGTTTTTTCTTATTTCAGAACTTTCGCTTTCAGAGGCATGTTATTTGGCTAATTACAGCATGCAAAACAGATTCAGCTCAGCTGATGCTATCATTGAAAAACAGAAAGCACATGGATTGAGCAAGCACCTCGTTTGCGAGCAGAGTCCAAGTAAGGGGTCTGGGAACGAAAGGCATCGTGATTTCTTGCATGTTTATTCGTCACAACACTGAAAATTTCACAAATGAAATCCTGTCCACAAAATAGTGTATATTTTACTAGCTGTTTCGATTCTAGGGCGTCTTGCAGACCCAGTAGGTGCTTTCATAATGTGTCATTTTGTAGTTTATGCGCCATACGCGCATGGCGCACGGCCTTCCTAATCCCTGCACATGCCAAATTTGAATGAAATTTGAGTTAAATAAAAAAAAAAAAACTAAAAAAGTCACTCAGCATAGTGTTAGCCCAGACCTGTCAATTAGCTTCCTTATTGTGAGGGTAACATTTAGGACATTGTCATAGAATAGACTGACTAGAACAGTGAATTTTGTAGTCTGCTTTCTCAAAATAATATTGAAAATGTTGCTATTTGTTACAGTTCTTGATTAACAGTATTTGCTGTTGTTGCTTCTCCCACATTGTGGAATGCCCTACTCATCTTGTTAAGGAGATCAAACACAGTTTAACAGTTTAAATCCTTCCTCAAAACACACCTTTTTAAACTAGCTTTTAAAAATTTGATATAATTTTCAGAATTCCCGATGTAATGTGCCTTTGATCATTGCATGTTAAAAGGTGCAATATAAGTAATTATTATTACTATTATTATTATTATTATTATTAATTATTGTTCATTTGGTTTATTACATTCTAATATTGATATCAAAACATAAATGAGATCCCCACAAGTCCCTGATGAGTACCCCTTCTCAATTAAGCGCCCTCCATTGAGCTACGACCAATAGTAAATTAGCATCAGGGGCACTAAGTTGACTCATTACAGTGACACAACAGCACGATCGCATACAGTAACAAATTTTTTACTTGAGGGCCAAAGTGGCCCCTGAAGATCTTTTTTAGGGGCCAATTTTTTAGGAAAGGGGCCCATAAATTGAAAGCTACAGAAGGAAAAAATGCATCAGGGTACCAAGGAAAATAAGTTTATTAGGATCTATGATAAAATTTAGTAAGTGCTTTTTGAAGTGTTTCAACTCAATAACATTTCTTTTGAATCAGATACTAGTAAGAAGGATCAGTGCATTACAAGAGAACAATCCTTAGGCATACATGATGTAGTCAATGATCAAGAGTTTGCAATGTATTATAGGGCGATTTCAAACACGATCAGTTTTCCAATATGAGAGAATCAATACAGCAAAGCAAATGGACGGATTGACTTATTTTCTTATGTTGAATGTTTCAGAAGCAAAGATCTTTCAATATGATTTTCTAGAAGGACATGTGTAACAAAATAACCATTACTGATTGTCAACACAGAGAAATGTAGTCACCATTATGTTGTATTATGGCAACTAAACGAGAATTTTTGGTCACCAAGGACGAAATGTCAGTTGCATTGGCAACCGTATCGATCACAATTTCAAGCCTGCAGTCTTGTAAAAGGAAAGGGCCAAATTGGTCCTTTTTTTTCATTTTTCTGGGGGTCATCTCTGATTGTAATGCGGAATTCCCCCAATGGTGCGCTCTGGCGGAAACACTGTGGAGTTACCTGTCTCTCAGACGTATAGGACTGAGGCCATGTCCTGGGGTCCCACCAGTGAGCTTGACTGTCATATTTGGATCCACTTTCCTGTCAATTACGGAAACGATGTGTTTATAAAACAACCAGTCCAAAATTTACTTGCTGAAAAAAGTACAGTTAAACCTCCCATAAGCAGACACCCTAATGGGAGGCTAAAATGTAGTGTTTATATGTGGTGGGGACCATTACTCAGTGTCTGCTTTAGGTGATGGCCCATAGTGGGGGGAACTACCATATAAAAAGGACAGGGGTGCTTGTAAGAAATTTTGAAAAGAGCCCCTGTGAGGTACCAAAATCCTGCTCTGTGGGCGTAGAATTAATTTTTTTTTTCACCCCTCAGAGGTACCAATTCTAAAACAACACATTATCTCCTGTCATATTTGTTTGAGCTCATTACCCTAAAAAAGGTACTGCAAAAGCTTCCAATGTGTACCTTTGAGACTAAACACCCTAAGAAGTACCAAAACCGCTTTTTTAACCCCTAAAAGGTACAACTAGCACCCCCTCTCAAGTCTTGCAAAATTTGCTACTCCCATTTTTGTAATCAGGAAGAAGGGTTTGTTAAATAAATGATGCATGGCTGTTATTTGAGTAATAACAAGGAATGATCCCATATAATAATTAGCAGTGAAATTAACTGGGAGAATGGGATGGCATGGTGGTGAGAGTGCTTGCCTCTGACCAATGTGGTAAGATTATAATATTATTCAGCAAGTTCTGCTCATATGAACAGGATAATATTATAAGCCAAGTCACTGTCCCTTTACTGTGAATGTTCAATAACCAGGATTTCATATAATTACGTACTTTTATGAAGTAAAACCGTGTCTCTGTTGCTAACAGCCAATAAAGAGCTAAGATTACAGCAGGTGATGCACACTGGGGCCAGTCCAGGTATGGTCTTACATGAAGTGCTAAAGGGGCACTGCAGTCTGTGTATATTATTCCCACAAGGCCAAATAACCTGATGGAGTAATGAACATCATTTAATTGTACACTAATATGTACAACAAGGATGTAGGGTGATAAGCACCTTCACCCACACACACACTTGTAAATATTGTAATTCTGGATCAATATATATATTTTTTTCTGTACAGTAAGACTGTGTCTGATTGACAAATAAATATGGGGGAACCTTTGCTGATGTCATGGTGTGACATAGCACTCTGCATAGAGATGGCATCACACTAGATAGGTTGTGAAACTTCATACTGTAGTTGGTGAGTTTTTAGCTTTTAGAGTGTAATATTGGCTTTCAAAAACTGAAACATTTCTGTGCTACAAAAGCAACAATGAGCCCATACATAATTTCTTTAGAACTATAATGCTGAGTTTTTCAAACCAGGTCAACTAAAAGAGAATAAATGCCATGAATCTGGCCAAAAAAAGATTTGTAATATTTATCTTTTAATTTGTAGCTTCATTATAAATGAAACTATAACATAACTGCAATAACATCACACTGTATTAAGAGTGAGTAATCCTAATGGAAACCTCACCTGGCAAGTAAACTCTCTGGAGGAAGAACTTTCTGAAAAAATTGGAACTGATACATGTAAAATGTCAAAACATGCACACCAGAGTAGATCATGAGAGCTAATCCTACGAAGGCAAATGCTCTTTTCCGTCGTAGCCTTACTGCCTTGTGGCAGGCCCACATTGTTCCTAAGATCAAGAACATCACAAAGTATATCGCAGAAGCAAGTGATGGTAGCATTATTCCCCCAGCGAGTAACATGACGGCAATGAAATATGGCATCACATTATCCCATGTAGTTGAGTCAGGGGATGTTCTTATATGTTGTGGGGTCTCTGGACGAAGTGGGGAGGAATCAACTAATCCTCGGCAACAGACAGCACATGTTATTGATACAGCTATAACTGCCACATCTGGGACAATGATTCTGCAGATGTCCAGTGCTGAAACACCATCAAACCTACAGGATTGAAAAAAAGTCTTATGTCAGTGTACCATCAGTCGAAAACAACTCCCTTCACATGGTCTCTTCACTTACATTGTTCTCACAGTGTGTTGCATAGTTATGCAACACTGCTTTTTTTTCTAAGAAAAAAGAGGATGTACCATCGCTTGCATCTAAGCATGAACACATGACACTGAAACATGCTCTAATTGGGTGTCAAACATGACATGATTGCTCATCAAACATTTGAAGTTAACCAGCTCTGAAAGACTCTGAAAGTCTTCCTCACGCCGATATTTCTTGGTTATACTAGAAGTAAAACAACTTTCTCAAAAGGCATATGCATATTGACACAGGTCAGAGTCAATTTCTCTGCAGAAGTCTTCAATGTCCAATCTTTCTGCCATTTTGTGTGCTGAACTTTGAGCGCGAAAGTTCTTGCTAAGCTCTGCTAAACTTCAAATGGTTGATGACTAATCATGCCACCTTTGGCACCTAATTAGAGCATGTTTTGGCATCATGTGTTCATGCTTAGATGCAAGCGACTGTAGATCATTCATAGTCAGGGCTACATGATAAGGTTAGAATTCATTTTAATTCATTCTATGGCCAGCTCCATGAGTGGGCAAGATGAACCAATTCCGGTGCTGTGATTGACTACCTGAAAAAGCAAGATGGAGCTACATGTATCTTACTCGCTCTGGACTTTCCACTGTGTCCCGCAAGAAACATTTCTCTGAAAGCCATATAATAAATCCTTTATTGACCAAGCTTGTTTGGTCAAGATGGTTAGATATTGGCCTTGTTCTTTTTTTTATGAGTTCATGGACTTTGACTCTATCTTGGTCTATAAACATGCAACAAAAGAACTTGGCCAATATCCAGCCATCTTGACCAATAACCCATATCCAAAATGGCATTTCTAGTACCTTGCTTAAAGTTCCAAACAAACATTACAATATAACACAATCATTACTTTCAAGGGGTTTCTATGTCAGGGTTTATAGCTAAAAGCTGTAACTGTATAGACTACTCCAACGTACTACTTGAGCCATTTAAGTGTGATCAATTTGTAAGAGGTTCTCCTCCATCCAGACACAGATATACTGAATGTCAAGTTACATTAAACGTTGTAGTCATTACTTTTCCAAAAGTTGTTACTTTGGGGATGTTGCTACAGTACTTCACATTTAAGAACACCCATAAATACATGTATCAATAATTTTGCTTCTTACTTTTTAAGGGATAATTAATTTTAGAATCAGGTCTCAAAAAAGTGCCATCACGGTTTCTAGGACAAGTACATGTAGATTTTTCAAGCAGGCAAGTAACTTTTTATTCTCCCTTGTCCGATAAGCAAGGGCCCAGGCGAGTCGTATGCCAACTAAATAAAAAAAAGATAGGACTTGCCCAGGGCAAGCAAAATTTGAGGGCTGCTTGAATTCCAGTTTTTTTCAAGCCCTGCTTTTCATATTATTATTCAATGCACTCAAAAAAGGACAGAGGAAAGTAACATGTGTTGAGTGTGATGAAAGAGTATATCACATGTACAAAGAAAGTGCAGTCACTTACCTACTAAGTCCAATTTGTCTGGTAAGTTGCTCATACCTTGAACCTGTTAAACGGTAGAACATTGTGTTGTTAGTCGCGGAAATCGTGGTAAAAAATCCCTTCATACCTAGATCATGCTTCAAGAAAATCATTTTGTACAAAAGTCAAGGTTGAAATAATTTTAAGCAACAGCCCACGCAAGACAACAACATGTAAGTTGAATGACAGTTGATATTATTGCTTACAATTTGGAAAGAAATGTCCGTAGGGTGGCAGGGCTCCCAAGACTATCTGAAAAATAATCTGCGCCATCAAGGCAAACACGGAGAGACCCAACAGTGCCTTCTGAAAATGACCTGTAGAGCCAAAAGCTGCAAAGATAAATAATTACAGAGATACAGTGATAGGGACAGTTAAATTGTAAGAATGTGGAATTAACACAATGTGACCCACAGGAAGTATGCCAAACCTGGATTGGAAGTTAAATCTCTTTTAAGTTTATCCCCATCCCAATCTCTCCTCCTCTCCCCAACAAATTTATTGCCAAGTTATCTTATAGTTAACTGGTACCTACTCATTTATACAGCTGGAATGAGAATAATAATGTAGAGTTAATTGTCCTGCCCAAGAACACAACACAATGTCCCCAGCCAGTGCTCAAATTCAGGCTGCTTGCACCCTATTTTTTGCTCTGACAAAGCATCAGCTTCACCGGCTTTCTACTATGGTGGTTAAGTTAGCTGTATCAACTTTGAGTTGATAAATGGCAGTGTGCTTCACTTGCTTGCTGACGTAGCCCAACAGTTTCTTTTAAACTATAAATACCTACTGTAGATGTTTTTTGCTTGATGTTAAGTCTGGTAATTATGACAATGCCATCAAGACCCTCCCATCTCAGGGTAAATTTTTTATCTACGAAGTTCATAAACAAGAAGTTAGAATATAGTTACGGCTACAGTTGTCAAGAAACGGAATTGACATTTGTATCAAGCATACTCCATCACTTTATGGAATTCTCTCCTGGGGTCCCCCACCCCCCACCCCTGCCTCTACCTCCTACACGTACATTGTATGGAGCTAACTCTCTAAAAGAAAAGTACACATGTCAAGTGATCTTTCAAACCTCGTGAGGGATTTGGTAGCAGAGGAATAGCCAGAAGACAACACAAGTAAATGACAGAGAAGCCATTGATTCTGAAGCAACAAGCTGAAAAAGAAACAAACTTGGAAATGTTAAAGAATCATCTACAGTGTTCAATCAAAATCTGTCAAGTGTTGAATTTTTTTTTATTAAAACAGAGAATATCCAGAGATACTTATCTAGGGCAATATACATGTAGTGGCGCATGTAGCAAGTAAAAATTTTCAAAAGAGCAGTTTTGAAAGTGTAGTCAAATTACCAACAAATTACGTCACCGGTAATTATGGAGTTGTAACTTGTGTGGTTGTAATTTAACTGACCAACTCCTNATTGTAAGAATGTGGAATTAACACAATGTGACCGAAAGGAAGTGTGCCAAACCTGGATTGGAAGTTAAATGTATTTTAAGTTCATCCCATCCCAGTCTCTCCTCCTCTCCCCAACAAATTTATTGCCAAGTTATCTTATAGTTAACTGGTACTCATTTATTCAGTTGTAATGAGAATAATACTGTAGAGTTAATTGCCCTGCCCAAGAACACAACACAATGTCCCTGGCCAATGCTCAAATTCAGGCTGCTTGCACCCTAGTTTTTGCTCTGACAAAGAGTCAGCTTCACTGGCTTTCTACTACGGTGGTTAAGTTAGCTGTATCAACTTTGAGTTGATAAATAGTAGTGTGCTTCACTTGCTTGCTGACATAGCCCAACAGTTTCTTTAAAACTATAAATACCTGCTGTAGATGTTTTTTGCTTGATGTTAAGTCTGGTAATTATGACAATGCCATCAAGACCCTCCCATCTGAGGGTAAATTTTTTAATTACGAAGTTCATAAACAAGAAGTCAGAATATAGTTACGGCTACAGTTGTCAAGAAACGGAATTGACATTTGCATCAAACATACTCCATCACTTTATGGAATACTCCCCTGGGGTCCCCTTCCCCACCTCTGCCTCTACCTCCTACATGTACATTGCATGGAGCTAACTCTCTAAAAGAAAAGTACACATGTCAAGTGATCTTTCAAACCTCGTGAGGGATTTGGTAGCAGAGGAATAGCCAGAAGACAACACAAGTAAATGACAGAGAAGTCATTGATTCTGAAGCAACAAGCTGAAAAAGAAACAAACTTGAAAATGTTAAAGAATCATCTACAGTGTTCAATCAAAAACTGTCAAGTGTTGATAATTTTTAATTAAAACAGAGACTGTTCAGAGATACTTATCCATATAGAAAGTAAAAATTTTCAAAAGAGCAGTTTTGAAAGTGTAGTCAAATTACCAACAAATTACGTCACCGGCAATGATGGAGTGGCAGCTTATGTGGTTGTAATTTAACTGACCAACTCCTTTGAGAGCTTTCGATTCTAGAGACTGAAAGAGATGTCAATCAAATGACATGCTTCGTTGCTCTAAAAAGAAACTATTTAATCACACGGTAAACGGTAAAAAGGTTGGTTAGTGGCATTTCAAATTGATTTGTTTTACGTCTGAGCAGGTCGGTGTCTCACCGTGTCAACACGATAAACGTTGCGTGCAAAAACCCTCGCAGTCTCTCAGAAACACGAAAAGCTGGTCTGCCAAAATAAAAAAATCATTCAGTGCAAAGCAATGA